GATTTCACCAAAGAGAGCCCTATATGTGTTGCATGAGTGTAAAGGTCGGACCTTTACGTGATTATTGTAGATGGGGAGGGCAGATCTATAGATTAGAGAAGCGGATATGACCTCAGAAGGTCATTTGAGTGTTGCCATGGACGCTACTCGTCGAGTTCATAAGTGGACTCGACGAGTCGAGTCGGGGTTGCCCCGCGATTCGTGACAGGTGTAACCCGTCGAGTGAAGGGATGACTCGACGTGCCAAGTGAGGCTAGAAGGATTCTGAGGACCCGCATAGACTCGCCGAGTCGCCCATGTGCACTCGACGAGTCGGGTCAAAGTTTGACCGTTGACTTCAGTTGACCTTAGGGTTTTGGTCAACCTGATTCATGAGAGTTCAGGGAGGGGTAGGATGGCCTTCTACCCAATCTTTAGAGATGAGGCTATGAGAGGGTATTGATCAGGAATGTTATTCGTATGATAGGAGGAGGCTAGGTCGGGACGTCAAGCACGAGAGTTTATCCGACTTCGTACGAGGTGAGTCTTCTCACTATACTGTACCTAGAGTGGTACCTATGTGTGACCGGAAGGTCTTATATGCTATGAGATGTATGTGATGTATGCTGTTATATGATATGGATGTGTTATGTACGTTATGAATGCTAAGGACCGGAAGGTCATTATGATATGGACCGGAAGGTCAAGATGATATGGACCGGAAGGTCATTACGGGTAGGACCGGAAGGTCTACCAGGGTTGTGGGACGGAAGTCCTCTGAGACACAGTGACCGGAAGGTCTTATAGCCTTGAGTGGCTTATGTGCGTATGTGGTATTTTGGGGAACTCACTAAGCATTTATGCTTACAGTTGTTGTGTTATGTGTTTCAGGTACTAGCGAGGATCGCGGGAAGGCGCCGGCATGATCCGTACACACTCATGGAGTTTATGTCTTGAGATTCTGGGATATGATTTGTTATGATAACATTGGATAGATTATGTTTTGACATTACCTTATGAATAAAAGTATGTTTTAAAAATGAAAAATTGTTTTGGAAATTTACGTTGTTACAGAAACAACCTTACCACTTCGACTCTTAGTCATCATTTGTAGATTATGTTCAGATCTGAAACAATAGAGATGAATTTGTAATTTGAGTATAAAGTGTAACTGTACAGTAATAAAATTAACCATGAATGTAACCAAAACCTTGCTTCCAATAAATAACCAAAATAAGCACAGGCCAAAATATGAATATAAACATAAACATTTCAGAATTATTGAATTTGAGTTCAACCATAGCATTCCTAAATCGCCGTGTTATGTGCTTCAATCATATAAACTTTCTCCTATTGTACCACTTCAACAAATAAGTATACCCAAAACCAAAATATATTATAATATCTAAAATTATTCTTTAAAGTATAAATTAGACCTTATAGCACCACTATAGTTCCAAACACGTGCTGCAAATTAAAATCATAATAGAATCAACAAAAGGCAATTTATGTATTTCATTAACATTCAACAGCTAAAAAAAAGCAAAATCTCACCTTGGTAACTTATGCCTCAATTCAATAAACCTCATCTTGTTACTCCACCTATCCACACTCATTCTATTAGAGATTCCTAAACATCATGAAAATAAGAACAATTTAACCACCAATCTTGATTGACAAATCAATAATATATGATTCCGGTTACCTAATGTTGAGAGTAGTGACATGCCTCTCACCACCTTCCCACACAAATGATTAGAACATAAAAGATTGGCATAAAAATAAATTAAAAAAAATAACTCCAAAATTGATCATCACGTTGCACAACCTGTCAATAAGATATTATCTGTCAAGAAGATAACATTTGGAGACTACTACTTACAGAAATAAAGAGCTTGGTTATATTCCCTTCTTGTTATTCGTCATAATTATAAAGCTTCATTTGTTATATGTCATAATTACAAAGCTTCAATCATCCATAAAAATAATAAAAGGTTTAATCATTATTTTGAACCCATAAAAACAATAGCTAGAATTAGATGCAAAAATTCCAATTTACCCATAAAGTTCATACATGTGATATAGTTGAAGCCAACAAAGATGAGATTCATGAAAACCTGTTCAAATAAACATTTTAACATTAAGAAACATCATAAATTGGAAATTGGTGAAAAATGCATGGAAATAAAAAGAACTCCATATGGAAAAAACACATAAATCGAGATGAAACGTGAAGATTTGCGATCAGTGACATTTCCAATCACCTAATACCTCAACTTCTAAATTGTGAGGATTCTGTCAAGACCTATTCACAAAATTTATGAACATAAAAGAAAAAATAAGAGGAAGATAAACAATTTTAAGGGTTTAAAATCATACATCTTGTTAGTCTCTATGTGTCTGCAAAACTAGTGAATGTGGTGTCTAAGGTACCAACAGAGGGAGAGAGCATTGAGACCATTACATGTAACCATGAAGATAAAGGTGCAACTATTGGAACCCTAGAGAACACTGTGCTAATTTTAGAACTTAGTGATATCGATTGGCATTGACCAGATTATGAAGACTGATGAGAGGAGAAATACTTGGATTCAACATAAATCGATCAAGGATTAAAGGGGGACGGGTATGTTTTAACCTGAGTGGGAGGATGGAAGGATGTGATGGGATTGAGAGAGAAAGGCTATGTAGATGTTAAATAGAATTGAATTTGTAATTTGAGATGGGAATAATCTGTAATTTAAGGTGTATATATATATATATATATATATATATATATATATATATATATATATATATTATTCTATTATAATTCTTTTTATATACATATATGACTTAATACGGTATTTTGTAAAAGCTTGGCGGCAAGTAGAAACTTTGAAGTCATGACGAACTATTTAAAACATCGAGTATAACCATTATAAACGATTTTTTTTATAAAATTCATCATTTTCTTATTTTTTAAGTTTTTTTTTTAAAAAAAATGACTATATACTCTCGAATGCTCCATTTCGGATTTGCTCTTCAAATTTTAGAGTTTTTTTTTGTTTTTTTTTCAAATAAATATCACTACTTATATCCAAAATGGCCATTTCGAGTTCTTAATGTTACCGTTTGTCAATGTCTAATTTTATATAATATATATATAGATATATATATATAATATATATATATAGATATATATATATAATATAGACTATCTATATCGAGATATAGACCCAACACACACACAGAGAAGAGAGAGAGAGCGAGAGCGCGAGCCGAGAGCGAGAGACGAGAAGGGTTATATGGAAACAAAAAACCCCTCCACCCCCTACGATTTTTTTTATAAAATTCATCATTTTTTTTATTTTTTAAGTTTTTTTTAAATGACTATATACTCACGAATGCTCCATTTTGGATTTACTCTTCAAATTTTAGAGTTTTTTTTTGGTTTTTTTTCAAATAAATATCACTACTTATATCCAAAATGGCCATTTCGAGTTCTTAATGTTACCGTTTGTCAATGTCTATATATATATATATATATATAGATATATCTATATATATATATCTATATATATCACACACACACACTAGAGAGAGAGAGAAAGAAGGGTTATATGGAAACAAAAAACCCTACAAACCTTAAAAATGCATAAAAAAAATACTCTGAGATCACAATTTTTTTTTTTAACTTTATATTACTAAGAATCGCAACTTTTTTTATAAATTCGCTGAAATGTTTTTTGAAAAAAAAACAAAAATAAAAAATTTAAGATTTTTTTTTAATTTTTGTTTCAACGAATTTGTAAAATAAAGTTGCGATTTTTAGTAATATAAAATAAAATTAAAAAAAAAAGATTTGTGGTCTCAAATAATTTTTTATGTATTTTTAAGGTTTTTAGGGTTTTTTTTTGTTTTCTATAGAACCTAATTCTCTCTCTCTCTCTCTCTCATATATATATATATATATCTTATATATAATATATATATCTATATCTCTCAGATATCTCTATACATATATATATATATATATATAGATAATCTATATATGCTATCTATCGATATATATATATATAATATAGGCTTCGGTTATTTGTTTAAGTAATTATTGTATTATTGTATGCATAAATGTGGGCCAATCAATTTACTTATTTTAAGAAAGTGATTCCTATATTATTGAATTAATATAATTGAAAACCAATCATTTTAATTAATTCCAAGGGTAATTTAGTCAGTACATATAGATTTCATGAAGGAAAATTGCATTTTTTAAGGGATCATAGATTCTATTAATTTTAAAAATCCGATTTACGAATTATAATTCTTTTTCATTCGGACATTCTGACAGAATATGTTTATGAGTATATTCAAAAAAATATTCTGAACCATAAATAATAAAATATTCTTGAACCTATTTCTTGATGATGACTTTAAAAACTCTCTTGAAGAATAACAACTTCTTGTAGAATAACCAATTTTGAACAATCAGTTGAAGAATAAAAACAAAAATACATTATTTCTTATAGAATACGAGTAATAATTGTTAAGAATTACATTTCTTGTTAAAGAATAAACTAAAAAAAAATCAAAACGGGGAAAAAACATCAAATCTAACAACGACTAATACATTCTAAAAGAATAATATGGTCCGTTCTTCAAGCATCACTTCTGTGATTCCAACAGAATTGGAATTCGTCATTCCATTCCAATAGAATTGGAATCTTACCAATATCATCCATTGAATCATCTGCATAAATGAATAAGATTATTCCAAGATTCAGAATCTGGATCGTCGGGATGATTCTGTACACAAATCAATTTGACTTAATTGTGTGGGATCCACAGTTTCAGTTTATGATTTCTTTGCGAACATCTTCAAAAGTTATCATTTAGCAAGTTGACAATTTTTACATTACATATACATTGGCATTTACAAAATTAATATAATAACCCATTCCTTCACAACATCAGCAAAAGTGTAACAGAGCAACAAACATACCATGAAAAGACATATGTTCATATGTTGTTAAGCAAAATTAGAAAGAGTCATCAGGCTTCACAAAGTTGTGATATTCCAGTTGAGTCATCTCCCCTCCAGCTTTTGGGTCAAATTGGCATCTATAGAAACTGCACAATTACAACAATTTTAATCCATCAAAAACAGAGTAATCATCATTCCAGAATGAATATAAATCTGTCAAGAAACTTTAATACCTTCCATCTAAGCCAAGAATCACCACTGTGTTCTTTTGATGACCAAATGCAACAATATACTGAGAGCCTTCAACCAATCGGAACTGAGCCAACGACCACACAAAGCTAAAATACTTGGGGATAACTCCTGCAACATAATTTAATGACATATTCATGAAACTATAGTATGTCTTTTTGTCAAGATTCGAGAACAATGGTTGATTTTTAATTAAAAATCAATGCGACTGTGTGTACTGTGTACCTTTAATGAGAGCACGAGATGAACTGGTAATGAGGACTGGATTATCGACAGATGTGATGCTGAAAACATGAATAGTACCCTCATCACTTGATACAGAATGTGTGTTTTTGTCTGTACTTGTCTTCTAGCTCTGTAATTGAGTAGTGTGTTTTGTGAGTGAAAATGACGAGTGTGGGCAAGACTTAAAGACGCATAACTCACCATCACCAAACAAATAATTACCCAGATTAACCCCGAATAATTCCATGGCTCCAAAAATACAATCTAGAGTGTCCGAACAGACAGTTTACGAAAGGAGGAGCTACAGAAAGGAGGTGTTGTTTACCTGATGCTATGAGGAGGAGAGCGAGAGGGCAGATCAAAGAGCCGAGCGAGAGAGATGGCAGGTCGAAACAGTGAGCAGATCAACAAAGAGATATGGCCTTGGTTGTAAATTCTAGGGTTTTGGAAAATCAGTCATTTACACAAACGAGGGGGGATTGGAATTAAACTCATCTTCATACCGGGCTTGAAGCAGATTTCCCGAACAATCCCGACGGAAGATCCCAATACCACCACCAAGACCACCTCCGTTCGATGCTTGATTGCTCGATTCTTCCCTCTCCCGATCTATGAAGAAGACGATGAAGGGTCGCTGATGTCGATTTGTTCTAGGGTTTTCAGAATCAGTTTTTAGATAAAGAGGAGAACGAGATTTAAACTGGAGAGATACCATGATTATAGGGATTATTTTTGGAATTTATTAAGCAAATTACTAAATTACCCTTATTTATTTATTTAATTATTTAATTTTTTATTTAATTTTGATTGGCCCACATTTATGCATACAATAACACAATACTTAGTTAAAACATTTGAACCTAGCTCTCTCTCTCTCTCTCTATATATATATATATATATATATATATTATATATATATATATATATATACACTATGTTTGTTTAACATTTTTGTTAGAATTAAGTGAAAAAACTATATTTTTTTTCGAAATTCCGGAATTATTCATTGAGTTTTGGACTTGTTCTTGAAATTTCAGAATTTTTTTCGAAGTCCGAAATTTTGTTTGGGATTCACAATGTTTATCCGAAATCTGAAATGTTGGTTCGGAATTTTGCAATGTCAATTCGAATGTATTTTTTTGTTAGAAAAAATGTTTTTTCTCCCGGAATGTCTATTCCATACTAATTGGTTATTTTTGTTAAAAAAATTTGGTTATTATCTTCAAATACACATAAAATTGTGTTAGATTACTTAATTTTACTTAATTTTCCTTTTTTTTAATGACATATCATGTCGCTTGGATATCAAATCTTAAGAAAATACTTGATTACACATATTATTATATATATATTAAAGTTATGAAAATTAGGAACATCAAATCTTAAGAAAATACTTGGTTACACATATTATTATATATATATTAAAGTTATGAAAGTTAGGAACAGTTCCGGTTTCCCGGTCATTTATCCCCACACCCGTAAGTTAATTGCACCTTCCAGTTTCTTTCTTCCGCTGCTTCTTATCCAAACCTTCTCTTAACATCAACTGTGCACCACCGCTCCCACTTTCTACCCTTTCCCCCCTCCGCTCCCTCTTACCCCTGTTTGAACATCCCCATCGGCACCACCGGACAAACCACCGCCCAACTTGTCATGACCTTCATCACTACCACTGTCGATGGATCTTTTTCAAGCAGACTCTTCATAAGCTTTCTCAAATTCGATTTGTACTTCCATTTCATCTGAAAATCGCCTTTTTAGGGTTTTTTTTTTAGATTCGTTTTTTTCTTTTTGACGGTTTTACTCTTCCTACCTGAGGATGAAGAAGCAGGAACATAAAGTTAATGTTCCTCTTCCTTGACTACCCATGTAAGTGAAACACTTCTCATAATAGTTATTATATAGGTAACTTTCATTCTGCACACAAAAATGTTTGATAGAATGCTTCAACCAAACTTTTTGAATTTCTATTCGTATCCATTATTGAAGGTGATATGTGCAACACCGACTCCTGCTGCACCGGCCAAGAAGAAAACCACGACGATCCTGCAGCTGTAAGTGCCCGATGGCTGCGATGGTTAGGTTCTGATGGTGTTCATTCTGCCTGAGCGTGGTTTTGCGCTTCTTAAAAATCATAAATATGTTATTGAATCGGATTGAGGCTTGGTAAGCGTGCAGTAGGGACACGAAAACTTTAAAAAATTTGAAATCAGTATCTAAGAATATACCTGGCTCCTTTGTATAACCAGAAGGAGACGAACCGTTCATTCAGGTAAAATCCACTTCAATGATTTTCTTCAAATCGCTTCTTCATTCGAGTTTCTTCCCCATTGTTCACACTTTGGTTTTTCAAATCGATTGGTTTTCCCAACTCGACCTGCTTCTAATGTTTAATTGTCGATCTTTTGGCGGTGCTTCTGCTTCACTTTTGGAATTCAAGGTCTTTTTTCACATTTGGGATTTATTTTGGTTTCCAGATTGTTGTAATTTTCGTCTGCTGCTTCAATTGGTTTTCTCAGGTAAACCCTTAACTTTAGTTTCTTTACAATACGTTTTGTTTTTGTTTTGGATGTAAATTAGTACAAATTGTTAAGTTCTTTGTGATGGAATCCATTAAACTGTCATGGGAAAAAAATGTTTTGGGGAAGATGAATCGGATGGAGGTGTATGAATAAAGCTCTAAATCTATTGTGTGCTGTCGGCAAAAGGTATGAGTTTTTTTATCAGTATTTTGTGTTTTTTTTGGTTTTCATTGCTCTCTGTCTGAATAACTTTCAAACCGTCAGCAAAACCAAACCGTTCCTACAGGAGTCATGTACACACAGACTCGCCCATATTCGCCTTCCAAGAACGAAGGCACCTTTCATTTTCATAGCATGAGACAGGTAATCCAAACGCTCATTTCTTTATTTCTTTGTATATCTGTTTACAACAAGAGAAAAGAGACAAAATATGTCGTCTTTTACCTAAATTTTTATGTTTAACCAAGTATAGACTAAATTGTTAATGCCCACAAGGTGTTTGTTGTTTCTCCTGTAAGAAATTTGAAGGGAGAAATGTTCAGTCTTGGTTTTGGAAGAGGTTGGTGTGAATTGGATACCGTTCCTTAAGAGTTCTTACATTATTTTTAAGAGGATCATAATCTGTACGCCGCCAAATGGGTGTTTGCTTCCACCACTTCTCAATTTCATTCCCTATAGTAATAATGATATTTTAAAAAAAAAAATCATAACTGCTGATTGTTTGGTTCTAGAGCATGGCAGGAAGCATTGTGCATTCCTTCTTCTATGAAAAATACAATAGGAAGGAAACTTTTTCAAATCACACATCTTACTTCATTTGTTCCATGTAGTTATGTACCTATTTTCTAGAGATGTAAATAAGTCCTTATAAAATCCGGTATTTACAAGCTATGGAGGAACATGTTGTGGTAGTTGGTAAAATTATTGAAAGAAAATGACACCCCATATGGTGTATGAAAAACACTACCTGTGTTTGATGGCAATAGATAGTAATTACAAATAAATGGCAATATAATGTAGAACTTACACCTATTGAAAAAACAGTATTTAATTTATAAAGATTTATATTTAACTGATGTAATGTAGTTTATTGGGTATTGTAGCAAATTAAAACTTAACAGTTTATGAGTGTAATACTTATTGATGACTTCCAATGTTGTTGTAGGTTATTAGAAATCAATGTTCATGTTATCTCAAAAACGAAGAACATGGGTTATTAAAAGCAAGAGAAGTTTTGGGTACAAGGCAAGTTCCTAAACACATATCTTCTTATTTTAGATTTTAATTTTATTCGGCTAATTTTGGAATTTTTTATTAAACTTATATCATTTACATATTTGTTAGTGTGCTAAGGATGGATAAACCGAAATCGAATCCAAATCGTTAATTTTGGGTATTGAGATTTCAAAATAAAAAAAAAATCGGTTTGGGTTCTGCTTGCACATTAAAAGCCGATTCACTTAAACTGAACAAACCAAATGGTTTTAAAGCTTTTGGTTTCTAAAAGAAATGTTTGCGAATTTGGTCGTGATTTTGAATTTTCTTAATGATTTTGGTTGCTGCTAAGATGGTAAAATTAGAAGAAAAAAAAAACTAACACCTGGGTATTTGGATTTGATGATAACTTGATTAAGGACCTAAATTGCTATGAAACATCAAAATAAGGACCACAATTGATAAGAAATTTTATTAGGGAGTAAAACCAAAAAATTATGCTAGAATCTGGGACCTTATTTGTAAATTACTTGAATTTTAAATAATTTATTTATAATACTTACAATTTGTTATATAGGATCCAAACATATATGTTCACAGAGAGTTTGATTTTGTGACATTTGTTCAAGATGATGTTGCAGATTGTGTGACATGAATGTCATGTGAGATTTGTGGACAACAGGTATTTGAATTTTCATTTTTATTTTATTTTAAATAAATTATATTATATTTTTAGAATAAATTCGGATTGTGGGGGTGTGTGACGGAATTGGAGTTCCAGATTTCGTTTAATGATAAGTTTCGGTTGGCAAATGGATGGAATCCTTCCATCATTCATGGAATCTACCACTCCATATATTTCATCACACTTTCATTTATTCCTATTACAACATTGGACTTTCAAGTGTTTTCTAAAATAATCGCATGATCTACTCAATTAAGACAATGTATTTTCAAAAAAAATCGGAAGGTCAATACTATACTTGGTTTACTTTTCAAAATATAATAGTGTGATTGGTTTATTTTTGAAACTATGATGCCATAAAAAGTTATAGTTTGACTTTGTATTTTTTTTACTAGGTGAAGGAATTGGGATTTCATTAGTGGTAACAGGAAGAGAACTTTGGCGCCTTTAACATTATGATGCTTGGATCCAATTAGCCCAACCACAACCAAAAGGTTCAAACATTTGATTATTATATTATAAAGGTACATGTTTTTTTGTTGATTTTTTTTCAGTTTTAACCGCTATAGTATATTTATTTCATAAGAGTTCAAATTAGGTCTCATCATTAACAATGGTCGCTGTATTATTGTTACTCTTTTATTGTTGGAAACTTTATTTTTTTGGGGGGTTTTGTGGAAAATTAAATCCCAAAGGGACTTATGAACAATTTGAAACTAATTGCTGTCTGATGATAGTGTTGTGGAGGTACAAGGGGAACGTGAAGGTGTACGCAAGGCAGTTGAACTAATTGCTTCACATTTTAGAAAGTTATTGGTTGACCGCAGTGTTATCGGTATATTTGAAAAACAAATAAGTTAAGTTTTTCAATTTTATTATATTTTGATTAAAAATAATAATAATAATCTAATTAATGTTTATAGATGCAAATATCAAGTGCTCGACCAAACCAGGAGATGGCAGCTCCCCAACTTTTGGTCAGATTCTGTATTGGGTGTTTTATTATTATAGTATGAAATATCATATTTCCCTATATATATTTCCCAATTTTCATTTCTAAGGTATAAGGAATGTCATATTTAGCTGTCTAATTACCATTTTTGTGTATTTGATCAATAAGCTTATAATAATTTACGAGTTTTGTTTTTGTAAAGATTTACTGTTGTTTATGTTTGTTTACAGAAATCAAGGGTATGCACAATCAAGGCAGAATATGATACAAGAAGCTCCAGTGGAAATGCCATCACCGAATCTCTCATCAACGATCTCGATAAAGACACCGTGCTCATGCTCAACATGTTCCAACTAATGCAGGAGAACATCTGCAAAAAAATCGTTGAAGACCACCGAACACCATAAGGAACCACACTGTTGTAATCGAATGCCCTGTAATGATCTATTAATGAATCGATATCTTTTTATCGTCATCTCTTGATACATTTATCTACTCCAAAAACAAAACTATACAAACGAAAACAGATATGATTCGTTGTATATTTAAAAAGGGTATGGAATGTTTTGGCTAACTGTTCGACCCAATATCATACGACCATATCAACTCCCCCTGCCCCCGCGAAGCGGGGGTTACCACTCTAGTTTCACATTATGGGTCTTGCATTTAAAGTTTCTTTGGATCTTGAATCTATATTATCTAACAAATAATTATTATTGTTGTTATTTATCCTTTTACAATAGCAACTATAAACGAAAAGGACGAACTCAAGTCAGAGGATGTTCGAGATTTAATATAAAAATAAATTATTAACTTATTGACTTTTTGAAAGATTTAATATAAAAATAAATTATTAACTTATTGACTTTTTGAAAAGACAATAAGTAAAAAAAATGTGTTTAGGTATATACAAACTTTTAAAACAACTTTTTGTTAATTCTTTGAAAATGAGATTTTATGAAGTTGGGATTTTTAACTTTTTAAAACAACTTATGACTTATTAGATTTAACATCTTCATTTTCTTTTTTAGTCATTTTACATGTATAAGCAAGCCAAACATTAATAAAAAAAAGAACTTATTGACTTATTGGCTTTTGCCAAAATAAATGTTAATCCCAACATTTTTTAAAAAACTATTTTCCCACCCTCATAAGTCAATAAGTCATTTTGTCTAAAAGTCATTTTCAAGTTCATAATGAAGTCCCAAACACCCTCTTAATATCTAATCAAACCCAACTTGGTAATCGGAATAAGGGAGTCAATAACATTCAATAGAAAATCAAGGATAATCCCGAATTTATAACATAGTTGCTTTGTATATATAACGGATCATATGAGACAATAACACACACATATTATGACACTAC